TCCCAGCACTTGGGAGTCAGAGCCAGATGGATGTTTGTGAGTTCAAGGCCAACCTGGTCTACATTCTAGCTAGCCAGAATTTCATGGTGCGACTCTGTTTCAAAAAGAAAAAAAGGAAGAATAGAAATTATTTAACCTTTAAAAAAGATTTCCATTTCATTTTAAAATACACGGTTTCTTACAGAAACTCATTGTTTTTGCTAATAACAATTCAAATTTCATGTCTTACAAGGTTTGTACTGAGTTCAATATTGTATGACTGTATTAATTCAACTGTGAACCTAAAAATTTACAGCCACCTTTGAAAGAAAAAAAAATTTACATAAGCTGGGACTGGTGGCGCACACCTTTAATCCCAGAACTCAGGAGGCAGAGGCAGGTGGAGCTCTGTGAGTTCAAGGCCAGCCTGGTCTACATAGTGAGTTCCAGGACAGATGGGGCTACAGGGAGATCCTGTCTCAAAAAGACCAAAACAACAACAGCAACAACAACAACAACAAACCACATAAGGCTGGGCGCAGTGGTACATATCTTTAATCCCACTCAGGAGGCAGTGATATATGAATGTCTGTGAGATGGAGATCAACTTAGTCTACATAGTGAGTTCCAGGCCAGCTGAGGCTAGAGAAACCCTGTCTCAACCCTTCCCCCACCCAAAAGAAATTATATAAAACCAGCGTGATGGCATACTCCCACCATCCCAGTTTATTCAGGAAGCTGAGATAGGTGGATCCCTTGAGTCCAGGAGTTTAGGGCCAGCTTGGGCAACATACAAAGGCCTCATCTCTTATACTTACACAGGAAAGCATAAAAGTTTATGCTCATTGAACCATGTATTATATAATTATATATACATATATATGTGTATACCCAGACAGCTATAGACCCATATATATCTATATCTATATATCTCCTTATCTAGTGCTGGTGTAGCATACATGAGGCCCTAGGTTCAATCCACAGCTCCACAAAAATAAACATACACACAACATATTTTATCTATATTTCTTTTCATGCAGTAGTACGTTATGAAATGTATCCATATTGTTGGCTGTAACTGTAAGTCAGTCTCTGTCCTTACCATATTGTATGGCATTTTTATAAACACACTATTCATTTTCCTCTTATACAATATGTGGATTTTCCAGTCTTGGGTTATTATAATGTTTCCATAAATATTTTTACACAAGTATTTTATAAAAAAAGATGAATAGCCAGGTGTGATGGCTTTTTCAGGAAGCCAAGGCAAGAAAATTATTATAGTGTGAGACACTGCCTCACAACCACCATGACAACAAAACAAAAAAGAAGATAAATAAGTGGGTGTGTGTGCACTTTTGTTGAAGGGAGATAGATACAGTTACCTAGATGAGTGAAACTGTCAGGGCAAAGAATGGAATTTCTGTAGATGATATCAAGAAGTTTCCAAAATGGCAGTGATTGTTTATATTCTGACTAACAGTATTACGAGACTTTCAGTTTTTCTTCATCTTTGCCAACAACCACATTTTGTAAGTCTTTATAATTGAACAATTCTGTGGGGTATATAGTGGTCCCTTATTATAGTTTCCACTTATATTGTTCTGATGTGGCTAACCTCCTTTGTCATATGCTTATTGGTTGTTTATCCATTTTTAAAATAAAAATACTTATACAAATCTTTCTTCTTTTTTTCATTTAGGCTGGGTTTTTTGTTGGTTTGTTTTTGAGACAAGGTCTCATGTATCCCAGGCTAGCCTCAAAACTCCCTATGCTCTATCACTATCTTATTCCTTTGAAACAGTGTCTCACTGAACTTGGAACTAACCTGGCAGCCAGCAAGCCCCAGCTTGTCTCTGCCTCTCCTAGCACTGGGGGTTACAGGCAAGGTTACAGTGATGCCTGGCTGTTTATGTGGATGCTGGGGATTTGAAATCAGGTCCTCATACTTGCACAGTAAGCACTCTTACCCACTGAGCCATCTTCCTAACCCTGTTTGTTTTGAGATAGGATCTCTTTTCGCCCAGGCTAACCTCAAACTCCTTATATAGCCAAGTCTAGCCTTGAACTCCCGATTTTCTTGCCTCCACCTCCCAAAGTGCTGAGACTACAGGTGTGTACTACCAGGCCTAGCTTTAAGTTGTTTTGTTGAGACATGGACTCATATAACCCAACATGGTCTCAAACTAGCTATCCAGCTGCGGACAACCTTGAACTTCTAATCCTCTCATCTCTACCTCTGAAGTAATAGTATTATGAGCATGTGCCACCACACCAGGCTTTTCTTCCTCTTCAAAAAGAAACCCTTCAAAATTTTGCATGCTACCCCTTTGCAGGAACCAGGCTAATCTTCTCTGCATTGTTCTGTTTTCAGTGTATGCTTTGTCAAAGCAAGCCCTTTACTTATGTTTAATAAGAATTTTCACTTTTGCCGGGCGTGGTGGTGCACACCTTTAATCCCAGCACTCGGGAGGCAGAGGCAGGCGGATCTCTGTGAGTTCAAGGCCAGCCTGGTCTACATAGTAAGTTCCAGGACAGCTGGGGCTACAGCGAGACCCTGTCTCAAAAAAAAACAAAAAAACAAAAAACCAACTTTTTTTAACTTTAATGCAATTCAATTTATCATTCTTTTGTGTTATAGTATTTAAGAAATCTTTCCTCACTATATATTTTGAAAGTATTTCCTAGCCTTTCTTCCAGAAATTCTATTTTGTCTTTTAATTTAGGTATATAAAGGCTGAGGAGTGTAGCTCAGTGGTAGAATGTGTGCTTAGCATGCCCAAGGCCCTAAATTCAATCTTTTGCCAACCACAAATACACTTTGATCTTCAATCTATCTAGAAATGATGTTGTTGAGATTTTTTTGAGATATGGACCCTCTCAAAGCAAATTCAGGGTTGGAAAGGGAAGTAGACCTAAATGAGGCAGTGATATACGCTATGAAAGAAGACACCTCATATAGTTTGGCCATGGATGCTAAAGACAGCTACTTCTCATAGTACTTGCAACTTCCTTCCGAAAGACTCTTTATTAGTTAAATCCTGGTCATAAGTGTACTAGGCAATTAAGAGGAAACTTGTCACTGACTGCTCTTGAAGAGGACCCGGGTTCGATTCCCAGTACCCACATGGTGGCTACAAACCGTTCTTAACTCCAATTCCAGGGGAATCCAAAGCCCTCTCTTGACCTCTGTGGCATTGTATGACTCAGGTGCACTCACATACATGCAGGCAATACACTCATACACATAAAATAAAAATAATAAAATATTTTTTTTAAAGAGAGGAGATTGTGTTACCTTAGATGAATGTTAGGCCAGAATCTTAGTGTCTTCAGCACCTAAAGAAAGCCAAAAATTCTAGAGCTGCAATAAACACTTGGGGCAGCAGAAATACCTCCCTTTCAGGTTTGCAGCAAATGACATCTTGTAAATCAAGATTCCCACACTTATGAAACTGGAGAAGAGGAAGAATACTCACTCACTCTTGCCCTCTTCAGGGCCTTGATTTCCATTCCAGGAAAATTGTGGTGATAATGACTGACAGTAGACTAAATCCTAACCCCCTTTCCCACGGTTGACAGTCACTTTAAAACACCTGGGTTCAGTCGGCAGCTATTCCTCAGTTTGATCCAGTTGGATGGTCCAGCCTCTTTTCCTCTTTTGTCCCAATTCCACCCATGTGAGATTAAAAATCAGGTCCACATACTTTTCCTTAAAGCTATAGCCAGGTTGTCAGAGGTTAGTATGGGAAATGCCCTTCTTTTATAGTAACAGAGGACCACAAAATTATCATGAACAAACATTAGGGTCAAAAATCCATACAATGTCTCAGGTAATAGAACTTTGTTTATCATCTGTATTTTTTTTTTTTTAGAGAAGGTCTCATGTTGCCCAGGCTAGCCTTGAACTTTCTATATAGCCAAGGCTGTCCTTAAACTCCTGATTCTCCTGCCACCCCTCCAAAGTGCTAGAATTACAGGCATGGACCTACATGTCCAGACAGGGATTAGTTTAGATAGAAACAAGATGCATGTATGTGGGGAGATATATATATGTATTTTTGAAGCAGGGTTTCCCTGCAAGCCGCAGCTGTCCTGGAACTCACTATGTAGATCAGGCTGGCCTTGAACTCACAGAGATCTGCCTGCCCCTGCCTCCAGAGTGCTGGGACTACAGGTGTGCACTACCATACCCAGCAAGATCCATATGTTTAAAGATAAGTTGACTTAAAATTCATTTTAGAATTTCGTGACAATCCATAAGGTGTTATTTGTGTGTGTTCTGTATGACAGAACAGAGAGAGCTGGAATACTTTGCCATGTTGCTTTTTGAGCCTCATCTTCAAGTAAGCTTCAAAGTCCTCAGAAGAACACAAAACATCTCACAAAACCAAAGTTCAAACGCACTTTCACAAAAGGAATGTTCTCCTTGCAGAGTGATTTTTGCTAAACCATACCAAGAACTTAATATTACTAGGCAAAACATACAACTTCCTTTCCTAGAACATCTATACCTCAATCAATGATCCTATTTTCACCCAAGACATTACATAACTCATGAATATATCTGTGCGGTCTATCCATGGAGAATAAAATGGGGCCTCCAAAATCAAAATCATCTTTCCAGTAAAGAAAGTACAGGTGACCCTAATGAGTCTCCAATTCTTTTCGTAGACTTCTCATGTCTATAAAATCCATTTCTTTCAGACCCTTTATATTCATTCACCCTTGTTTCAGAGACTGGGGGGCTAAGTCTCAGAATTCATCCTGGACATTGTGTTTTAAGACATTTAAGAAACATAACAATGATAGGGTTGTGACCCATGGTGATTTTTATTTTATCCTTTTTCTTTCCTAAGTTTTCCATATTTCCTACAGTGAGCATGTGTTAGCCGTATAATGAAAAAAAATATTTTTTAGCTGAGGATTGAAGTTGTCCTTAGGATTTAAAAAAGATTTATTTTTATTTATGTGTATGGGTGCTTGTCTATATATATGTATGTGCATTATGTGTGTTGCAGTGGCCACAGAGGTCAGATCAGATCCCCTGGAACTGGAGTTACAGATAGTTGTGAGCCACCATGTAGGTACTGGGAACCAAATTCAGGTCCTCTGTGAGAGCAGCCAAGCACTCTTCATCTCTGAGCTATCTCTCCAGCCCCACTCTTAGGATATTAACAGAAGTAATCTCTACATGGTTTTTGAAGACACTGAATTTTCTTACTGTTGACAGTTCTTCTAGAAGCCCTGAGAAAAGTATGGTTTTCATTCATAAAGGGATAGTTTCCTTTATCACAGAACTAGAAATTAAAATGTTTTATCCATACTTGTTCAATATTAGAATGCAAACTTTTATTTCCTCACATAGTAATCTATAGATTATTTCTAGTATGTTATAGAAAACAGAAAAAAATAAGACATACTTTAAGGTTAGACAGCCTTAGTTTAATTCACAGTTGTATGACCTCTGCAAATCTCAGTTTTGTACAGTGGAATTATAATAAGCATTGTACAAATACTTTCCCTTGGGAAGTAGCGGTATAGTTCAGTGGTAAAGCATTGACTAGCATTCAAGAGGTTCTGTGTTCCATACCTGACCTAGGAAAAAAGCAGCAACAAAGGAATTTCCCTAACCAAATAAAACATCAAAGACACTTGCAAGCTAGAAAGCTTCAGAAAGGATTTTGAAAATTGTAAGAGGGCACAGAGCCTTAAGAAGTCCTGTGAACAAGCTAGGCATGGTGGCACATACCTATAATCCCAGTGCTTGGGAGATTGAGGCAAGAGATTCAGGAGTTCAAAGTCATCTTCAGCTACATAGCAACTTTGAGGCTAGCCTAAGGTATATAATACTCTGTCTCAAACACCCAGAGAAAGAAAGAAATCCCATGAACAATGTCATGGGAATTCCAATGATATTCTTAGGTTATCACTGTGTGCTTTCTAAAATGTATTTCTAAACTATTTCCTGTTGCTGGGTTTGCTCCTTAAAAAAATAAATAACAGGACGTGTTAGGGAGATTGAATACTTCACGTCTACTATGAAGGACTTTTTGGTGACTAACTGCAGCCGAGTTCTAATGTATGAAGGATTACCAGGATATGGAAAAAGCCATCTACTTATGGAAATTGAGTACCTGGCCTCCCAACATGAGAACCACAGGTGAGTGTCGAGAATCTTAGAGAATCTTGTATTTCTTTTGAGCTCAGAGACTCCTGACATCCTTAAAGGAATTTCACTTATTTTGATGTTCTCATCCTATGTATAACTTGCCTTGTATAAACTAGCTAACTACAGTTGCTGAGTATCATGACCCTGTGGTTAAATAGGTAATTGATGATAAACATTTCAAATTAAGAAGAAGAGAAACTGGGATGCTTCCTGGAAATCCTGATCTAATGTTAGGTCATGCTTAGAGATTTTAAAACTTCCTAAATAATCCTGACATGTAGCTAGGTCAAGGACAACTAGGAGAGGTATGGCAAGCAAGGTTGGATTCTGTCAGGGACAGACACACATGTGTTTATTTGGCTGCCTGATAGGGAATTGCTATTTCAAGTCATTTAGACCTGAGAATGGGGATTGGTAATGTTGGACCTCAGTTTTTATTACCTGAAGGGCAGCGCTAATGTGCTTACCTCATACTAATCTGTTTTCATGTACAGAGTGTCATACGGAACCCTTTGGAATGATCCGTCTTCCACTCTATGGACTTGGATAGGATGTAGTAATGACCAAGATCATGATCCTAAAGGGTATAAGAGGGAAATGCTTATTATTCTTATTTTTATCCCATTTCTGCTACTCTTTAATGTCAGGTCTGAGAAAAGCCAGTTTCAAAATATTGTTAACACTGCTGAGGGGACAAAACAGCAAGAACCATTAATTTGTTCCATCACTTACTGATTTCTTACTATGTTCCAAGAACTGTTAAATGCTGTATTAGTTTCCAGGCCTTCTGTAACAAAGTACCACAAACTGGGCAACTTAATCAACAGAAAGGCCACGTGTGGTGGCACATACCTTTGATCCTAGCACTTGGGAGGCAGAGACAGGCAGATCTCTGTGAGTTCGAAGCCAGCCTGGGGCTACAGAGAAACCCTGTCTCAAAAAGACCGAAAAAAGAAAAGGAGGAAGGAAGGAAGGAAGGAAGGAAGGAAGGAAGGAAGGAAAGAAGGAAGGAAGCAAGGAAGGAAGGCAGGCTAGGAATCAGATCTAGGTGTCATCAGGGTTGGTACCCTCAAAGGACTACAAAAAAAAAAAAAAAAAACCAAACTATTTCATTCGCCTTCTCTGGTGTTTTGCTGGCAATGTTTGGTGTTCTTGGCTTGTAGAAATATCACCTCAACCTCTGCTTTCAACTTCACATGGTATCTGCCTGTGTGTTTTCTAAGAATATTTATTTATTTATTTGTTTATTTGTTTGTTTGTTTGTTTGTTTGCTTATTGGTGGGCAGCAGCTCATGTAGCCCAGGCTGGCCTTGAACTCCAATCCTCTCACCTCCACCTCCTGAGTGCTGAGCTTACAGGCATGCACCAGCAACACACCCAGTTTGGTCAATCTTAGCTAATTCTCTGTGATTATTCTAGTCCCAAACAAGGCTGTATTCTGAGGTAGTTGATATGAATTTAGGAGAACTCAGGTCAGTCTCTAACAAGTGTCAGTGCCCTGAGCAAATCCAATCCTTATGCTAAAGGAGCTCTCACAAAGGGGAGAAGATGACCATGAAACAGTGTGGCGAGGGCAGTGGTAGAGAAGCACAGCAGCTTAGTGCAGGAGCTCAGAAGAAACAGTGTGCAGCCCAACCTTGGGGCTTTAGGGAAACTTCCAAGAGGCCAAACCTGAGCTGAGACTCACAGATGTACAGCAGAAGAGGGTCTGTGACCAGTGATGAGCAGGCAGCATAAGTACTGGAGAGGAGATAGCCCTGTCTGTACAGGGGGACCTTCATCTGCTTGCTGGCAGTGGAGGGTTAGAGGCTAGGCAGAGAGTGGCATGACATGAGAGAGAGGCTTTGGAGTGTCTTTATGCCACATAAAGTAGCATGGATTTAGTCTTTTAATTTTTTTTATTTTTGAGAATTTCACATATGAGTATTGTATTTGTATTATTTCCACTCCTCCCAGTCCACCTCCAACTTCTCCCATGTTTCCCTAACTCCCTCCCAGTTACTCATCCTCTTCTTTATTATTGCTACATATTCATACATACAGTTATAAACACACACACACACACACACACACACAATGAATCCATTTACTGGTGCTCCTGTGTACCTGTGTTTAGGGCTGCCCACTTGGGACTAGATAATGTCTCAGGGAGCTAGTCCCTGGAGAAAACTGATTCTCTCCCTCAGCATCCATTAATTGTCTGTAGCACTTCATCTTGAATTGGGACCCTTTGAAATTTCCCATCTACCTTGCCCTGTCAACTTTTGTCATTATGCAGATCTTGTTAGACTGCCATCCTGTGGAGATCTCACTGGTGTAGCTTCCCTATCATGTCTAAAATGCATTAACTAGCAGCAGGTGTCTTGTCCCTCTGACTCTTACATGCTTTCCGCTCTTCTAGGATGTTCTCTGAGCCTTGGGTGTAGAAATTGCATTATAGATGTGTTACTTAGGGGTGGGCACCTTACAGTCACTTATTCTCTTCATTTGACCAGTTGTAGAGCTTTGTAATTAAGTCTCCATTTGTTGCAAAAAGAAGCTTCTTTGATCAGTGGTGAGAGGTATACTTGTCTGTAAATATAAGGATACATATTTAGAATATAGTAAGAAATTATTTTGGCCTAGGGAAGTGACAGAAGTATATTCTTCTCTAGGGTCTATGACCTCTCCAGCCTATTAGTTTATAGCACCAAGCATGAAATTCCTCCCATTAAGCAGATCTTTTAGGCAATGGGAACCTTGAAAAGGTTTTTTTATGTGTATGAGTGTATTGCCTGCATGTGTATTAGTACACCTGTGTCGTGCAGCGCTCAAGGATGGCAGAAGAGGCCATTGGATCCCCTGGAACTGGAGTTATGAACAGTTGTTAGCCGCCATGTGGATGCCTGGAATTAAACCTGGGTCGTTTGCAAAAGCAGCCAGTGCTCTTAACCACTGAGCTATCTCTCCAGCCCCAACCCTGAAAAGTTTCAAACAAGAAAATGCTACAAGATTTGCTGCATGTTTTTGTTTTGTTTTTGATTTGGGGTTGTTTTTAGCAGTACTAGGGAGCAAACCCCAGGTCTCACACATGCTAGGCTCTACCACCGAGCTACATCCTCAGTCCAAAGACTTGCATCTAACTAGATACCACTGAAGTTTCTTGAAGGTCTTGCCTTCAGTGGTTTGTGACCAGGCACAGGAAGTGACATGCTATTGTGGCAGTATAGGTTATGAGTCTAAGGGCCCTGGCCAGGGTGCAGGGCAGGAAGAACTAGAAAGGAGAGGAAAGCTAGATTAACACAGTGGAATGATGGGGTGGTGGTGGGACATCAGAAGCAGGAATAGAGAACAGCTTCCAGATATCTTGGTAAATCTCTGTCCTTCCAGCTGAGTGTGAGGAGTCAGAACTTTCCTCCAACTTTTATCTCCAGGAACTATATTTAAAACACTCTCCTGATTTTCGATTGTCTCATAAACAGGGCTGTTGCTATTGCACTGACTAAGATCAGCTTCCATCAAAATTTCTACACTATCCAGATACTCATGGCTAACATACTAGGTCTGGATACTTGTAAGCATTATGGAGAACGACAAAGCACCCTTCAAAATAAAGTCAAGACGCTGTTGGATGAAAAATTCCACTGTCTTCTTAATGACATTTTCTATGTTCAGGTAACTAGTGTTAGACTTCTAGAAGAAAAAATAAGGGCTGTGAGGTAAGCCTAGCAATTCCTCCCTGATGCAGTGTTACTCGACTCTCGAACCTTTATTGTTCTCACCTGGAATATACGGGCGGTAAGGAAATGACTCTCAGGCCTCCTTTAAAAAAATAATTTTTGCTATTTTTATTATTTTTTTGTGTATGAGTGTATTGCCTGCATGTTTGTGAGTGCACCCGTGTTGTGCAATGCCCATGAGGTCAGAAGAGGGCTTTGGATCCCCTGGAACTGGAGTTACCAACAGTTGTCAGCCACCATGTGGGTGCTGGGAACTGAACCCAGGCCCTCTGCAAGAGTAGCTAGTGCTCTTAACCTCTGAGCCATCTCTCCAGCCCCCTTTCAGTCCTCCTTGAAAGTAAATTTATATTCACTTTCTTAAATCACTTAGTCAACAGGGATTTTTGAAATGGTTCATTGGTTAAGAAGATGTACTGCTTTTTCAGAGGACCTGAGTGAGTTTGGTTCAAAACTGCCTGTGACTCCAGGGAATCTGATGCCCTTTTCTGACCTCTGCAGGCACCTGCATTCATATATACAAACTCACACAAATGCGCACCCAAGTACACAGAATTAAAAATAAATCTTTAAATCATTCAATCTAGATTTATTTCAAGACTTGAAAACATTCAGGCAAATCAAAATGGTATTGCAATTTCTTATAATCCGTAAACACTTAATATAAGGTTTTTGAAGTCTAGATAATTAACGAATCCAGGTTATTAACAATACACATTTTATTTTACTTTTGTGTATGAGTGTTTTGCCCACATGTGTGTAAGTGCACAACTGCATGCAATGCTGGGGGAAGTCAGGAGAGGGCATCAGAGTCCCAGGAACTGGAGTTACAGATGGTTGTTAGCTGCCGTGAAGGTGCTGGGAACTGAACCCAGGACCTCTGCAAGAGCAGCCAGTGCTCTTAACCACTAAGCTGTCTCTCCAACCCCAACAACACACATTTTTCAATTTTACATTTTTATTTTGAGGGGCTAAGGATGAACCTTAGGTAGGGCCTCATACATACTAAGCATGTTCTCTGCCTTTAAGCTACATCCCTGTCCCTTTTACCAGATTCTTGAGAGATACCAGAGGTATCTAGAAATACCATACTCAAGAAAATTCAAATGACCACATATTTATTCACCTGTAGCTATTCTGGCTGCTCTGGGGCAGTCACCCTGTTCCCACAAGTGACTGCCAATATAAAGATAGAGTATGTTCTTTTCTTTCTTAAAACTATTAGATTCAGTGGCATAGAGGATTCAAACTGGGAAGGGCATGTGAAATGGAACACTTGAGCATTTACAGTTTAGAACAGTCAAGGGGTTTTGCTCAGCATCACATAGCTCATCATTCCTGTTGCTGTTTTCTTCACTTAACATTCTCATTCTTGTGCAGTTTCCTGTTTCCCCGGAGATGTCCAGGATGAGCACCGTAGAAAAGCAAAAGGAATTGGAAGAACTGTTTATGAAGATCTTGGAGCAAGTAAGAGCATCTGTGGGGCAAGCACCGGAGGAGGAAACTGCACAAATGGCCACAAAGTCAGTTGGCCCAAGGGGCTCAGACTCCATGGCAAAGCCTTTTGGAACTATGTGAAAGCCTTATCCCAAAGTGCTTCCTTCTCCCTATCCTTTCCAAACCTTGAACTGAGTCTGCTTAGAATTCAGAGGCTTAACTGGGTGTGGTGTTGCACACCTTTAATCCCAGCACTCTGGAGGCAGAAGGTGATCTCTGTGAATTCAAGGCCAGCCTGGTCTACATAGTGAGTTCCAGGTCAGTTGGGGCTACAGAGATATCCTGTCTCAAAAAGACCAAAAAATGAACAACAAAGAATTCAGAGGCTGGAAGAAGACTTAGATGTTAAGAGCACTTGCAGATCCAGCATCCTCTTCTGCCTCTGTGAGCACCTGCACTCATGCACACATGTAGACACACACACAGAGAGAGAGAGAGAGAGAGAGAATTAAAAATAAAAGAACTTTAACAAAAAAGAATTCAGATATGTATATTCGCACATCATGGTGGCAAACACCTGTCATCCTAGGACTTAGGAGACTGAGGCAGGAGAATTGTGAATTTGAGGCCAGCCTGGTATATTGCATGAGACCCTGTCTCCACAAAACAAAAGGAAACAAATCATCCCTAAACCTCAGCCCTGCATGTTTTTGCCTCTGTGAGCCTTCTTTTTCTCATTCTGACTATGAGAGGCAATAGAGCAAAGTGGCTATGGGTCTGGAGTGCCAGTTGAGTGGGTAGAGTGGTTTGAACCCTGAGCCTGTCACTTGCTACCTGAGTAACTTTAAGCCAAGTAACTTAACCCCTCTCTGCTTCTGTTTTATCATCAGTGGGGAAAATAATAGTACCTAGCACACAGGAGTATAAGGTTTGGCATACGCTTACGCAAAACACTCGGTGAGTATGCTCTTAATACTCTCATATTGAATGCTGGAGAGTTGGCTCAGCAATTAAGAGCACTGGTTGCTCTTGCAGAGGACCCAGGTTCAACTCCCAGTACCCACATGGTACCTAACAAGCATCTGTAACTCCAGTTTCAGGGGCTCCAGCATCTTCTTCTGTCCTCCGTGGGCATTGCACAACACAGGTGCACTCACATACATACAACACAAGCATATACATAAAATAAAAATAACAATTTAAAAATAATCTCATGTTGGTAATCATCAAACTTATATCCCAGCCCCTACATTTATTTTTTCTTTTTTAATATTTTATTTTTTAAATTTTATATGTGTGAGTGTATTGTCTGCATGTATGTAAATGCACCCATGTTGTGCAATGCCCTGGGAGGTCAGAAGTGAGCATCAGATTTCCCTGGAACTGGAGTTCAAACAGTAGTTATCTGCCGTGTGGGTATGAGGAATTGAGCCCAAGTCCTCTGCAAGAGCAGCCAGTGCTCTTAACCACTGAACCATCTCTCCAGCCCTATTTTTTTCATTCATTCAATTATTATTTGTGTGTATGTGTCTGGGGATGTATATGGGCAGCATGTATATGGGCAGCATATGGAGGTTAGAGGACAGCTTGCAGGGGTTGATTCTCTCTTCCCAGACCCTCCCCTGCCACATACTCCTCTCAGTTTCATGCTCTCTTTTCATAATCCACTGACCTCAACCAGTGCTATCCCTATGTGCATGGGTATAGGACCATCCACTGGAATATGGACAGCCTACAGGGGCCAAGTCCTTGAAGAACACTGACTCTCCTTACCCCAAAAGCCTTCAACTGTCACTGCTCCTCAGGTAGGAAATGGGGCTTTGTGAGCCCTTCCCCCATCTATGCTGGAATTCTGACTGGCTTGATCTAGTGCAGGCAGCCATAGCTGCTGTGAGCCCATGAGTGCAGTGGTCCTGTCAGATCTAGAAGACACTGTTTCTCAGCAGAGAAACCTAACCTAACCTCTGGCTCTTACAATTTTTCTATGCTTTTTTCTCTAATGTTCCTTGAGTCATGTGGAGAAGAGCTGCGATACAGATGTCCCATTAGGGACCAAACACTCCAGAGTGACTCATTCTCTACTCTGACCGGCTGTGAGTCTCTGTATTAATCAAAAAGAGAAGTTTCTCTAATGAGGGTTGAGAGTCCACTAATCTATAGGTATACAGATAATTATTTAGAAGGCAGTTTGACATTATGTTCCTTAGGAAACTAATTGTAGTAGGTTCTCCCCTAGGGCTTATGGTCTTCCCAGCCACAGGTTCCCAAACAGGTTTACAGTACCAGACATGAGACTTACCCTGTGGAGTGAGCCTTAAATCTAGTCAGAAAGCAGTTACCCACCTCCCAATGATCACACCTTGCCAGGTTGGTCATTATTGTAGCTTACAGGGTTCCCAGCTGGGTGAGAGTGTTGATGACTTTTTTTCCTCAGTAGCCTGTGGGGCATTTTCTGGCACTAGGAAGGCTAGCCAGGAGGAAGGAAGCTTCCAGCTCAGTAGCAGCTTGGTTTTTCCATGTCCTGTGGCCCAAGTGTGTGGTGTCTTCAGTGATAGTTTTACTATCAAGTTCTGGCGGGCAACCAAGAGTGATGGCAATATCCTGTTTTGTTTGGGGAATTGCTAGGATCCTCCCACCTCCAACCAACACTCGAAGGATAGTGTCCCACACCAGTCATGGACTTTATGTTTGATAATCTATGTCAGCAGGGAGAAGCACTATATATTTTTTTCTTTTTATTTCATTGCGTTTATTTATTTAGAGACAGGGTCTTACTATACATAGCTGTGGCTGGTCTGGAATTTGCCATGTAGATCAGGTTGGCCTCAAATTCACAGAGACCTGCCTACCTCTTCCTCCAAGTGCTAGAATTAAAGGCAGGCACCACCATGGCCTGCTATTTTTTTTTTTTAAAGGATGCTTCTAAAATAGTAGGTTTCCATATGGCTTTTTCAAGCATCTTTAATGGTAATTATCCCTCCCCTCATTCCTTTCTTGGCCCAAATTTTGCTTTACAAAAGCCCAAGAGGAAGATGGACCAATCCAGTCTCTTCTCCGAGGAAACCAAGCAGGAGGCAGAGCAGGCTGGAGCACTGAGATTAAGGAGAAAGATTCTTTGTTTAGACTCTCACACAGAGAGGCAAGGCAGGGCCTCCTCTGCAAGCAGCTACTGCAGGACAGTGAGCTCTGTATTCTGTTTAAGATTGTGTCTGAAGCACCTGGAACCATGTATGACCCTAACAGATACACACTAAATGTTTAATGAGTGAATGAATAATTTAGACTAGTTGTAATCTAAACAAGAAATGAGACACACAATCTATTTGAAGTGTAACATATACTAAGGTTCAAACTAGAACAGCATAAGCAACCAGCAGGGCCAGGACCAGATCAGTTTCCATCAACACTACATACCCAGCACCTAGCCTGTGGTGTTGGGTAAGTAAGTATGTGTTGCTGAACAAATGTCATATCCTCGGGATCATTTGCCATTTTGCCAGTAGATTAAAATGGCTTTGAGCTGACATGCCAGCTCATGCATGTAATTATATAATGAGAACTTTCACTTGGTTTCAGTGGATACCCAACAACCTTATTTATTCTACAAATTTGCAATTTTTTTTTTTTTTTTTTTTTTTTTTTGGTACTAGGGAATCCAACCTAAGCTGTTAAGCATACTAAACATGCACTCTAACACTGAACTGTACTCTAGGGTTTTGTTTGTTTTTTGTATTTTTTAAAAAAAAGGATTTCATGTAGCCCAGGCTGGTCCTGAACTGGTGATATAGTGTGGGAGCATGGCCTTGGACTCTTAATTTTCCTGCCTCACCTCTCAAGTGTTGGGATTACGAGTGTGTACTAGTTTGTTTCTTCCCTTCTCCCTCCCTCCCTTCCTCTTTTGTTTCTCCCTTCCTTCCTTCCTTCCTTCCTTCCTTCCTTCCTTCCTTCCTTCCTTCCTTCCTTCCTTCTTTCCTTCCTTC